CCTTGATTTTTTTTTTTTCTGAATCATTCAGAATATTAACATTAGCAACAACAACAGACCAGTCAATGTGGAAAGCGAGTTTTATTGATGCATAGGCTTGCCGAGGGGGGAGAAGCACCAATACTGCAAAAGCCTAGGTCTGAGCTAAAACTAAAGTAAACTAAAGCTTAAGGTAGCTCTAAATTAAAGTAACTCAGTGTTATAACTCTATTCCTAGTTTTTGCATAATTCCACGGTGGCAAGGGGCTGATAAGGTCATTGCGGAACAATGGGATAATAGGAAGAATGCATAATCAGGCTCATGGACAGTTCATTCGAAAAAATTTATTTTAGAAACGAATGAATTTTTGGCTGCCACGGGTAATCTCAAGAAAATCACCGAGGAATTGTCGTTTGATTGCAATTCGCCCTGTAAATTTGCCCGGTACAGTTATTTTTTTAAGCTGAAATTCGAAGAATTCTTTCAAGTCGAGATTGTCTTGCTTTTTTGACGACGTAACTTTTTTGGGCGAAATAATGATTTTTTTTTTTTTTTTTAATGTTGTAAGAAGCCACCTGGAAATTGAATAAAATTGCTTAAAATTAGTAAAAACAACGCCGGAATTAGCTGTTGAAAATATAATTAAAACCAAATACTTTTTGAGAAAATACTTTTTAAATTTATTTTTTTTTTTTACATTTTCAGCATGAAATGGCTTTTATGGATAGCAAAAGTAATTTTGATTGATCAGCCCTTTCGACTTGATAGCAATTTTGAAAGAAATCTTCTGACATGTCGTTGTGTATTACTCTGGCAATGTTTGCTCAAAGAGCCGGCTATTCAGTTGGAAAGGATTCTCGATGAATTGGTACGTATTCTACCTTTACTTATGTGTAACGATCATGAGGAGGAGGCTGGACAGCTGCGGGAAAGCGCTCAAAACACCTCTTTATTAGTACAACGGCAAAAAAAATCAAAAAAAAAAAGAAAAAACAAACCCCGAAATTAGTCAGCAGCAGCTCCAAGCTGCTGCCGAGCACTTTTTGATTCCAAAAAATAATTTCTCATTTCATTTCTAATCACCACATTAAATATCACGGAGGGGAACTCGAGTCAAAAGGCGAGAAATTTGCATATCACAGGGAACCGAAGGACGACTGGACAAGACGAATGGGGTTTAGCCACCATCTTCGTCTCCTTGCTACTCGCTCCTTCTTCCTTTTGCAACAGATATTATTGCAATTACATTTCCTAATACATCTTAAGAAAAGGGACGAAAAAACCACATGCGGAGAAGCTTGTAGATAAGCTAGAAAACCAAAAGATTGCGATATTTTGATCCTTTTTTGCGGAAAATAATCGAATTGAAAACTCGATAGCGCAGCTCAGTTATAAAATCTTTAATTTACTTCATCTGAATATGAAATTTTTGGGTTCAGCTTTTGCTTTTAAATAATTAATTTTGCAATTATCAGGAAGATTTGCAATCGTTTGATGCGATCGATAGCGAATCTATTGCTGAAGCACTGCTTGAGAGGATGTATGCAAATTTTGCTTACAACAAAATAGGCCGAGCAGAAGAATGCTTCAAAAGTGCTCTTGCCTGT